CTATAAACCGATCATAAGACATCAAATTTTATAAAAATGTGAGGGACTCACACATCGCAACGGCATATGCATTTGTGCAGGACATCCTGTCGTCATACTTCTCCGCCCAAGTCAAACCAATGTTGATGAGCGGTGCACAGTGCGGGGCGCTATTGGCCACCTGCTTCCAATCCTCAATAACCTTTCAAATGCTGGAACCGCACGACCCAACATGGGAGTGCTCTCGCTCGACATGGATTGCTGAGCTCTGTGGGGGGGCTGAAATTACAAGGTTAAATACAACATAGGTTACGAAGATGTCGATACTGACCTCCAGAATGACTTCGAAGTCCTGTAGGAAATGCCATTCTATTGGGCTCAACTTTTTGTCGTATATAGAACGTTGGTTGGGAGACTCGAAGAACATATCAACCGCCTGAGCAATGGTTAGCCCACGACAAATATTCAGTGAGATGGAACCTCACCTGACGTAGATTGCGTAGACGATTGAGCATGACATAAACTGAATCCCAGCGGGTTGGCTCATCGAGCAAAAGCTCGACTGTAGGGAGCTTTATAGGCTCGCCTGTATCTCCCCGGAACCAATCCTTTTCATTACCTATCACGATGGTATCCCTAAAATTCGAACGTCGTTGGTTTGATGCACGGATGGAGCGAACAAGATTTCTGGCCCGTTCGAGAGCTTTACGGTGATGGCGCCGACATACTCATTCTTGACGACGATTTGACCACACACATTCCAGGTATTCTCCACGGATGAGAAATCCGCTGTCGCATAGTCGTCAACAATATGTTTTACACATATGTTGATCACGTGCGGAAAGCAAGGAATTCGGTTTTCGATTGGATCATATGTGATCTCGTGTTCTTCGAGTAGGTTTGAAAGTTCCTTCATGCATGTTTGATTATTCGCCGCGTTGTCCAAAGTAAAGTGTCCAGGCTAAACGAAGTCAGAGCAACATCATACGGTACAGCTGAACACTCACATCCTTTGCAACGTCAGCGCGATCGAGGAGATTCAGTATTACTGAACCGAGAGATTTGCCGGTATGACTTCCTGGAACGTGATGAAATGCGATTAATGCTGCCTTCAGGACGAGCACCGACGTCTGCTCTTCCTTGGCAATCCAATGAGCCGTGAGAGCCAAGAAGGGGCGGAGCTTCTGATCAGACCAGAGGTCAGATGTAAAGGATATTTTTCCTTGCGCCCTCTGTAAGAATACATAAGACGTATGGCAGGATTCTCGATAACTAGACACTCACGGCAAGATCACCTTTCAACACCTGGAAATATTCTTGCCACGCTACAATTATGAGCTCACGAAGTTTTGTGCGGTGGAGAATGTCTGAATCGGTCAAATCCTCCCGCAAAAAATGTATCAGGCGTCGAAATTCTAGACATTCTATAACGTTCATCGCCTGCAGAAATTGAATTAGCAAGGGCACGTAGAAAGTAAATATCAACTTGCTTGATCATCCGCAACGATGAATTTCACCAATTGACAGTGCATCTCGTCAATGCTGAAATCGGGGATAAAATTGTCTGGAGATAAGGTGGTTCCAGGTGGGGAATTGCCGTGTCCCTGATTAGGGATGGTACCGAGCGACTCAATGTGATACGCAGGGTCCCGGAGCCTCTCACGGATAGCTGCCAAAGTCCATCCTTCAGCGAGTCGGTCATTGAGTGGTTGTATGAAGATAGGCCAGCGTAGGCGCTCCGCCTCTTGCAGGAAAACGTCAGAGTGGTGGTAGAAAGCGTGAGTACAACGGGCAGAAGTGCCGGTTGAGTGCTTATACGACATAACCAGGTGTGAAGGGTCCTCCACCCACAAACCCCTGGACAAGGCCGTTAGAAAGAACGAAATAATTGCAGACGCAAAACTCACTCGCAGATTCGGCAGATCCTGCGTTTAGTGGCTGGATCTTCCCTAAAGAAGAAATTGACATCAGCACTGGTTTTTGGCTGCGCTCCTCGGACACCCGTAGCCAAGGGATCGACTTGGGTGGAGTAGATAGTACTGGTAAGTGTCTGCAGAGGGCTGGGAACTGGAGGAGCCCTAACGTTGGGTGCAGGCAAGTCATCTTCTTCATCCCCAGAGACATTGGGGATGTCAATGTATTCTCCATCATCTGGCGTGCGACCAGTGCCAGCACGAACTGGGCTATTATTGCGGAACCTCGAAGGCAGTTGACGTTGCCTTTGGGGGTGTTGAAGCATAGTTACGTTCAACGCAACAGCGGCAGCGATGGGCGCAACATTGGCAGCGATGGGGGGCGTAACATTGGCAGCGATGGGGGGTGCAACATTGGCAGCGATGGGCACGATAGTGGCAGCGATGGGGGTAACGATGGGGGTAGCGTCAATGGGAGCAGCGGCAGTATGAGTAGGCACATTGGTAACTCGAGACTTCTGCCCTCGTCGACGAGGAGGCATGTTTGAGTGAGAGTAAAGATTCAAAGACACAGTCTTTATGTATCTTCATCAAGGGAAACAGCGGGGAAATGCCAGTGCCGAGTCAACCAATGACAAGTCCAACGTGTACGCACAAGGGAAGGTCTGGACAACATTATTAATTGTGATGACACCAGGGGACAACTGAACGTATGGCCAGCGTACGTACTGGAAGATCTTGTTCATTTGAGTGGTCCTGGGCAGCACAATATATGTGTGGGGTTTCCCCAATGCCCACTACCTTGCCCAATGAGAGGGATACTGATACCATAAGATGTGCGTTCAGATGTACCCTAGATCTTGCAATCAGTTGGTTATATCGAGCACAGTAAGGCTTACCTACATCCTCAGAGTCAATCGGCTGTCCAGAAGCCAGATTGCAATATAGATATAGAAAGGGCATCCAGTGAAAGGGACATCTCATGTTTGCAAATGGTTTGCGATGGTTGTCAGGGACCCAGGGTGCGTGGTTTGACGATCACTGAACACGTGTTTCAAATATCAACCACTGGGTCAAGGTCGAGCAAGTTAATGCTTACCTTCATTCCAGGAGTCGATGGCTGATTGATTGTGCATTTAATTGCGATGTGGAAAGGCATTGGGGTGTTAGTGGAAAATCCCCCCTGCGTCATCCAGAAGGTTGGTCATGATGGTGATATGATTCAATAAGGCAAGGCTGGTGGATGTTGGGACTCAGGCTTCAGGAGTAAGGTACAGGTATCCAGGACAAGTTTGTTTCTGTAGCAGGCCGACCGATTTGCAGAAAAACAGCACTTGCAAGTTGCAAGGACGATGGGCAAGGAGATGGTAGGGTGAGAAAAAGATAAGAAGCTGCGTGACTCAGCGTGGAGTCGGCCCTCGGGGGTCAGGAATCAGGCCTAGCCGCAGTAGGATTCAAGAATCAAGATGATCAAATTTGTCGACATGTATTTGACCGCATTGAACGGTTTGAAACCTATGAGAAACACATTGTAGACTTGTACACTGTACAGTTATGTAGAAATAGAAAGACATATTCAACAGCGTGATCTAGCAACTAATGGTTTTTTCCGCAGTGCAGTTGGGTGCATGGGAGAGGCATTACGTTGGTGTAAACTTCGAAATTACATTAGCTTCAGATTGTGAATGGGAAAATGAGACAGAATACTCACACACGAGTAGATCTGCGAAGTGGTGTTGCATCCGGCAGACATGGGGCCGCCTCGACCATCCAGCGTTCATTGGAGATTGGAGGGTGATGTGTGGTGTGATTATCAGGCATGCTGAAATCCAGCGAGCATGTAGATGGCGCAGCCAAGGTGTCTTGAAGACCACAAAGCAATGAACGAAGATGCTCATAGTCGGGGTCTTCCGAGAACGCAAGAGAGCGCGTGTAGATGAGAACACTTGCAAATTTGACGGGAATTCCACTGCATAAGACTTCAATGGTGGTGTTGACCTTGCGCTCGAGTATGGAAGAGCTGGAGAGTTTCTCGTGGTCACTGATTAACCATGGAAGGGAGCCGCGTAACAGATAGATCAACATGTATGTAAGTGATTCAAGGTCGTCACGACGACCCAGGTCAACTCCTAAGTGGTTGTTGATTGAAGCGAAGGCAGGAGTGCCGGTGAGACATTGATTCTGACGAAAGGGAATATGGACTCTGGTTGCAGTGTCCCAGTATTCCTTCGCGATACCGAAATCGATTATAAATGCAGTGTGCTTCAAATGTCCAAGGCCCATCAAGACATTCTGCGGTTTGATATTGCAGTGAACATAATTGTTTGAGTGGATGTACTCAAGACGTGAGAGCTGGAAAACGGGTTAGCCTATCTGCAACAACCCAGCACGAACCGACTGACCAGTTGGATTCCTAGATTGACAACAGTATGAAGGCTAAATTTTCGATCATGTGCGAGGAAAAGATCATGCAGTGATGGCCCAAGGAGGCCGAGAACCAAAGCATGATATGTTGATTCTCGACTGAACCAGAGAGTGCGGGGTATCCCAACTCCACCTTCAAGTCGTTTCAGAATGGCGTATTCGCATTGTACAGAAGATGGCTGGGCTGTGATGGATTCGAGTTTTACGGCAACTGCATCATCTTTGATGATATTCCGAGCGTGGTACACAACAGCTAAGTAGGGTCCATAGTATTTTAATTTTTATAATTATAGTCAGCTTGTGAACAACACACCATATGAACCAGATCCCAAAACATCTCCGAGTCTGAATCTACCGTCAACTCGTATCGGGACCTTATGGTTCATGGTGGGTATACTATGAGATAACTTGAGCCTTGAGGCCTCGAGGAGCAACAGTCGAACTAACTGGGTATGAGACTTCGACAAAGACGTGATTTCGTATTTATAAATCAGCTTGAGCTGGCCTCAAGCCAGCTCGAGCCGCTGTTGATTATTTTTGGCTCACAGTTGGTTCGTGGGACTCCAAACGGCTAATGAACCAGACCAAACTATATATAAGTAGCTTGGCTCACTAGGATAGCCAAAATACTTGCAAACCGATGAACGCCAAGCCGGAGCGGGCCGTAGCCGAGCTGCGGTTGTACTAATCATAAGCTTCCTTGTATTCACCGCTTGAAAAGCTGATATCCGTGCGTTCACCGTCATACCATTCATTGATGCAGCATTCAGCCTGCAGACGAAAATGTCACTGGCTAAAGCCAACGAGAAATAGCATGACTCACTGTGGTGTACACCAAGGCCAATGCAGGTATCAGAAATGGAGACAAAACGTCCTCGAACACGACTCCATCATCCTTCTTGTTGCGGTACCAAACTAAATTTGCTGCTTGCTGATTTAACCTTGTATGAAATAGACCGCTGCGAGGCATGTTGTTCTTTCTGTCCCCGAGGTCCTTTCAACCAAATGTCAGTACAAAACATGACTCGAGATATGAGAACGCACCCGGTAACACATCCCAAATTTATCCTTGAGCTGACGGGCGAGTTTGCGATTCCTAGACTTGATGGACTCCCGATTGGTGGACTCGAAACCGTAAATACTCTCAACAAGTGGGCGAACCTTCCCTTTCACCTCACTCGTGAGATGCAATGTGTGCCGGGTAATCTTGATCCAGAAAGAAATTAGATAGATGAAATAATAGAACTTGAACACGTACCATTTGTATAATCTCTCCATTAAAACCAATCTCTATCTCATAATGGTTGCATGCCTCCTTCCAGGCCTCCTTCGCCCACAATACCTGAGTCATTCGATCTGGATAGGCATACTCGGATGCGAGCCACACACAAAAATGGCTGATTGCATACTTGATAAGTTGCTGGACCGCTACCTCGTAATCCCGGGCCGCTACATGGCCCTTACTCTGATGAATCTTGCGTGGAAGTCGAGTCTGTTCACCTTGCTGTGGCGAAGGCGAATGTGAGGACTCCCGCAGTGGTAGTGCATAAAAATTAACATACCTTGGTACAAGGCCTTCTCTGAAGGACAATGTTCATGTCGTTGACGCTGAGAGGGACCAGAATCAGTGTGATTGATAAGATTACTCAGCGCTTGGCGAGTAGGAGCAGTAGAAGACATTCTGGGTGTGAATAGGAAGTTAGAATGTTAGGAGGAGAATATGGGGACAGAGCGCACCTTTGTTAAAACGTCCCATCCTTTATAATGTCGCGTCGCGTCCGTGAAGTTACACGATCAACAATCGATGTGCTGCAATCAACAATTGACGCGACGCGCTGCATCAACAACACGAACACGTGAAGTCAGGTGCACTGGCAACCTGCGATCTTGAGAGATGGTACTGATCTTGAGGAAAAAACTTTCGATGTCCGATGTCGGACAGATGGCACAAGTCAGCCAGGTGAAACCAGACGAACTGTCACTTACAGGTCAGCTTTTTCGGCTTGTCAACCTCCTGCTCCTCCATCATGCACCGCTGCAATTTTTGCCTGAAAGGCAATTTCCAAACTGCGAGAGCTGTTAGCATTCATATCACCAGAACTAGAGCCTGTAAGGAACACATGGACCGGCTGCGCAACCACAAGCAAGCCTCAAAAGAGACCACACAAGCCACACGCAACAATGACCATGAGATGGACATTGGCAGAGACATACCTTGGGAGTTTGATGGCCAGGTGGATGGCATACAGGAAGAGATAAGATCCGCGACACTAGATCAGCATTGCGGTGTCCAAGTTGAAGAAGTAGATGACGAGGAAAGTGTGTGGATGCGTTTCGTGCAGTCATACCCAGGGCGGGTAGCGCAAACGCTGGGCCACGCTGAAACAATGTTCCATGCCATCAAAGCCCAACAAGAGGCTCGAGGCCTGGATCCATGGGCGCCGTTCGCAGATGCAGAGGAATGGGGACTTGTCAAATGGTTGGTATCGCGGGTGGGCCAAAATGCCATAGATGAATTCACACCCCTGGTTGTAGTGTTAGACCTAGTAAAATGGGAACTACCATTTTTACCATAGACACTTTTGATGGCAATTACCAGCAGCACAACTTGACCTAATCCATGGCATTTGCCAGGTTCTATTTTGCTGGGTGTTTTGGCTTTCACAGCCGCATTTTTAGGATTTTTGAAACTCAGCTATGTTTTCAGTCACAAATGTGTTTTCCACATTTGTCAGATGTTTTGGTATGTTTTATTCCGCAATTTTGGCCTCCAAAAGCGGAAATTCATAAAACACATCCTGTTTTGGTCACCTCCTCATGTCAGGCCTCCCCACATTATTCCCACACTCCGCATTTTCGCATTTTTAGTCACCTACTGTGGGAATTACCCCACAACACCCAAAACATCATCCCCAATATGGTATACCACATAATTATAATTATTCCCACACCCTCCCCACCTCACTGCAGGTTACCACTACACCACAATAGGTCCTCCCTTGTATCTAAGTAGTAGTTTGGTATATACATGTATAATATTATCTAATAAACCGCTTTTTTTGTCAATTTGTGTGCCTGCTCATCCTCCAGGGCCTTTTTCAAACAGGGTAGGGTACAGAACATTTTCGCATTTTTGCCCCTTTGATAGGGGGGTGTTCCAGGACATTCAGAACATATTTATGAGCATATATGAGTAGATTCCCATCTTTATTTCACCCCCTGAAGTGTCCTACATCAATAGATATAGCACATATGCAAGAAAACACAGAATATGTTCTCATTTGATTATTTCTAGGTGAACAGCCTTGTAAAAATGATTCCCAGCATCTATTTAACAATAGGAACAATGTATCAGGAGCACAGGACCATAGGATAATTCCCTGTTGCATGGTGTGCCCCCCCTCTCCTGGTGGTTTACCCCTCACAACGACATCTTCTCGTGCATCACCCCTGACATTCTACATCAGCTGCACAAAGGAGTTTTTAAGGATCACATTGTTAGCTGGTGCGCTGATATCATAGGCGAGGAAGAACTTGACGCACAGTTCAAGGAGATGACGTCGTATTCAGGACTCCAACACTTCAGAAAAGGTATATCCAAGCGCAAACAATGGACTGGGGCAGATTATTGCGAGTTGCAGCGTGTCTTTCTCGGTGTGATTGCTGGCGCTGTTGACAACAAAGTTCTGACGGCAGTGCGTGGCGTCTTAGATTTCATTTACTATGCGCAGTATCGCACGCACACGGATGACACACTTGCCCATATGCACGCTGCCCTCGCCTCATTCCATGCCAGCAAGCACATTTTCGTCGACCTCGGGGTACACGAACACTTCAATATTCCGAAGATTCACTCAATGATTCATTACATCGATGCCATTCGCTTTCTCGGCACTGCGGATGGTTTCAACACTGAACTGCCTGAACGGCTGCACATTGATTTTGCCAAACGGGCTTACCGTGCATCGAATCGCCACGACTACGTCATGCAAATGACCACCTGGCTACAACGCCAAGAGTCCATCCACATTCAAGACGCCTACATTCACTGGTGGGGATCCCATCACCCCGTCAATCAAGAGTGGCAAGACTCGGATGCCAGTGACTCTGATTCGGATTTGGATGGCGCAGGACCTGGACTATTTGAGAACTGCGTTGACTTACCCTCTCAGGTCCAACAGTTCACAATGGTGATGGGTTCCCGTGGCTACTTCGTCCCTAGGACATGTCCGTTTCCGAATTCGACAATCCAGCGCTTACTTACCGACCACGATGCATCCCTTTTCATTCCAGCGCTTGAAGAATTCCTTCAGAAACATGTTTGAAGCTGGTCACGCCGAAAACTCACACCGCAAGATCGGGTGGACGTTTACAAGTACCTCAAGATTCTCTCTCCACCACGACCCCATATCAACAACTGCAAGTGCTTGTTCAAAGTTCGTGCATCACCGGTGATTCCTGTGTCAGACGTGAGGAGACTGCCGGCACCTGCACACTTCGACAGTGTGTTGGTGATCGAAGATGGGAATGAGTACACCGGTCGAGGTATATCCGGTGAGCATCATAAATTGGTTGTGGGCTCGTTCTGACCTACCTTAGGTCTGCGAGTGGGCGAAGTCCGAGTCATTTTCAAGCTGCCATCACGTCTCGGTGATTTTCCACACCCGCTGGCTTACATTCACTGGTTTCGACCCCTTCAAATGTTTGATGAAAATGTGCACAGCTTCCGCCTCAGCAAGTCTTCACATCAGTGTGGTCCTAACGCACTGGTGGGTACCGGTCCAGCATCAGGAAAACCCTCCCGCCCTAATTCCAACTAATTGCTGGTAATTCTGGTAATTCCTGATAATTGGTGAAATTCCCGATAATTAGCTGTTTTAGAAAATTAGATGGATTATGTTACCCCTTGATAATCCATTGATAATTCTCGATAATCAGAAGGTATTGTGAACAATTTCTGTGCTATTGTCTTTACATTTGGGTAGATATATCTGAGTTTGCTGGCTCAGATCATACAATCACACTGAATGTTACACGAAAAAATAGTCTTTTGATTAAAGAAGGGTATCTAATAGGTAGTATATGTTCACAACCATAATACCGTCATATGAAACTATCAACAATGAGATATCTATCGAGAACGAGCCAGCGACTACTCCGAGTCGTCATCCATCCCATCAATGTCGAGGAGTTCGAGAGCTGCAGCTTGCTCTGCAGTTTTCCCAGTATGAGTGTACCTCAAATGCCTGCAACATTGAATCAATATGCGAAGAACAAATCAGACAAAGACCGGAAAAT